TATATATATATATATAAATTTTAATAGAGAACATGCTTTGATTTACTTACATGATGACTTACATGCTTTGATTACCTATGGGTCTATTCCTTTCAAACTTTGAAAAATAATATCAGATCACTAGCTTAAGAAAAATGCCAAAAAAAGAATAAAACTGCAGAAATTCTTTCGCCGTTTCCTTTTCGCACAGATCAACCTCATTTAGTAACATTATCTTTTACATGTACATGTGTAAAAAAATTAAAATATATGTTATACTCATTCGTCATCATTCCTGCCTATCAAACTTCCTCTAATGTGATTACCTCTTAAGGGTGTAATTTAATTATTTTTATTGAAGTGCATAAAAATTTATTAACTTGAAAAAGTTAGGCATGTAGATACTTAATAAATACGTCTGCAAATAGAAGTTCAATATAATCGGAGTTGCTGAAATAAGTACTTATTTTAATATTCGTAGCCTCGAACTATATTGGTTCTAAATTTATTCAAGTTATAGTTACATTTTTATATGTTTATTTTTGTCTTAAAGGTGGAGTAACCTATATACGCACAGCATACAACACGTGTAGTTTTAAGAGTTCTGAGAAATAGGTGTATATTGCTTAATAATTTCTTACATTTACGCGAAGACTACACATTGATTATCATTAATGTATATTGCTTTATTAATTAATCATGTTAAAGTTGGAGCAGCGTATTAAATCACGTTTACTTTAATAAAGAGTGCTTCTAGGAAATAGGTGTATATTATTTTGCTATTATGTTAAAGCTAAATGCTGACACACATCTAGAAGATATTATATCGCTCTTGTTATTTTTAAATACTAGCGACCCGCCCCGGCTTCTCCTGGATAACTTCGTTACGTGACGTTATTTAGATTTAAACTAATAAAAAACCATTAGTTTTATCATTTTTCTTTTTTTTTATAACGCCTATGATTTTTGTATAAAGTATAGCCTAGACCACTGCTGGTATTGATCAATTCAGCCATTTTAAAGAGTAGCCCGGATAGACAAACAGATAGACTGATAGATCTTTTAAAATAATATAAGTCACTTATTTCAATATCACAGACAGACGATTCAATTTTATTTCACATACATATAGTATAGATTTGTAAAGATATGTTATGTGGTAATAAATAGCGCTGTGGATAACCGAAGCAAACTAATGCCGCAACTACACAACGAGTAGCAGTAGTAGAGACATTCTGGGGTGTATTGCGGCTGCAGCTCGTATGGGTCTGCTATCAAGGACTACGCTCACAAAGAATACCAGCGTGATACCGTGAAACTATAATGAAATGCTGATATGTTTCATGTGCTGAATGCCAGAAACCTGAGATACCTTTTAATGATAACAAGGTATTCTATCAAGGTTCTGAGGAATGTTAAGGCATCTGCAATTTGATACTTAATCGAGGATAGTAAAACTAGAGAATTCGCAGAAGTGTCGCTGGCCTTTCAGGAAAAAGAAGACGACTTTTAAAATTCGCTGGTGCGAGCAGATTCCACTAAGTAACCGTGTGAAGCAAAGAAGTTAATATGAATGTTTAATTAATAATTATTATTGACGTACGTTTTTTTATAGGATTAGAGTGACAAACGAGCACACAATCCACCTGATGGTAAGTGGTTGCCACAGCTCATAGACATCTAAATCAAAATGCAGATGCGTTGTCACCCATGAGGACTAAGATGGAATGCCTCATTTCCAGTAAACAGGGTCTCCGGTTCTCTACACTCACCATACGTAACACAGCAGCGTTAAGCTGCTATTTTACGCTGGTATTCTGTGAGAGCGTGGTCCTTCCCCGTTCGAGCCGACCCCTTCGTTCTACAAATATACTACAAATATAGCTGCAGCATGGCTTTACTACGTAAAAATACGTCAATAATAATTACTTATTGCTTGCTGTCAAGCCTACTCATAGTATTTTGCATCGTGCGTCGTGCATGACCTTGACGGGACGTACAGCAAGATGGACCGTGAATAAGGTGCTATAATGTGATTATTTGAAGCGGTATGGATGATATTGAGAATTATTATTAACTGTGGGCTGTGCTTTGTGAAACCCTATAGGATATACCAAAATTATGTTCAGAAGTTGACTTGTGATAGGCTGTAATGACGATAAAGAACCAAGAAAAAATTTAAAATTATTTCTAAAACAATCCATCAAATAAATAAAACGAAAATTTTAGTTTAGTTACCATTTATATTGTATATTAAACGAAATAAAATAAGGTGAATGATTGGACAGTTTTGCTTTTCGCTAATTATAATAATAATAATAATAATTGGGCATGGACTTATCTATGCCCATCAGCATAAGGACCCTTTCCGAGGCTGAAACATACCGATACCTGGGTATGTCACAGAACATCGGTGTCGATGAGGCGGGTATGAAGCAGTCAGTTTGCGATGTGTTTTATGCACGCTTGACAAAAATGCTTAACAGTCTTTTGTCGGGCGTTAATAAGACACACGCATATAACGGTTGGATCATGCCTGTTCTCATGTATACCTTTGGCATACTCAGGTGGACTCAGACCGAACTGAACGCTCTGGACAGAAAAGACCGCACTATAATGACGTCCCACAGAGTGCATCATCCGAGATCGTCGGTAATGAGGCTGTACTTGCCGCGGAAGCATGGTGCTTTTTAGCTGCTTTTTAAGCTGGTTTTTATTTATTTATGAATTTTTTTATGCATTTATTTTATTTTGTTGATATTTATGTATGTTTATCATTTTCATTTACAATAATATATTTATACAGCCCAACCAGATGAGTAAACTATATAGATGCCACAATAATAATAATAATAATATTCCACAACTATCAAACAACGCCATCTAGTCCCAAGCTAAGCAGAGCTTGTGTTATGGGTACTAGACAACTGATAAACATACTTATATATTTCTAAATACATAAATATTATAGATAAATTACACCCAGACACAGAACAAATGATCGTGTCGAAAGAACGTGCTCATCACACAAACATTTGTCCTGGGTGGGAATCGAACCCACGACCTGGATTGATATTATAATTAATACCAGTTAGATAAAGTTTGCTTTCTATTATAAGTTATTGTAATACATTGTCAAAACTAATTCCACTGGTACATTTTCATTCTAACTGAACGTGAAGTATATAGGAGTTAGTTACATATAATAGTTTTAATATTATATTATAATAGTTTTCTTTTATTGAATAGGGTGATAAACGAACACACAGTCCACCTAAAGGTAAGAACATGCCCATCATAGCCATTTACGAATTAAGAATGAAAGGTATATACACTGTTACCCCTGAGGATTAAAATGTGATATCAAAGGTATTATAGATAGAGGCTTTATTTATTCCTGATAGATACGGGCCTATATTTGCAATCCACCTCTTTTGTTTGTTCTGAATCAGATTATATCAATCTATTTGTCGCCGCGCCTGCTCTAGACAAGGTCAATTGAAACGTGCTTGATATATAACCCAGGTTGTTGATCGGTTAATAAGCAGAGCTTAATGTATATATCCTCAATGATTTAATTACTTTAGTGCTATTGATTTATAGTAGGTGTAAATATAGTAACCACAGCCGGAGGACCCAAAAACCTCAACTATTTTATGGCTTATCTTTGGGAGGTAATCTTTCAGAACTGCATTGAAGCATTTCGTGTCGTCTTATAAATCGCAGTATGGTAAGTGCGAGTGCGCTTAATAGAATAATGTAAAGCGGAATTATCGTGTGATATATTGTGTAGTTCGGCCATGTTTGCTTTATATTTAAAGTAGGCTGCGATATTACTATGTGCTGAATGTCATCCAGTCTTCTTAAATCAATGGAGTTAAGATGAATCTTAGATTTTTCTTCGAGCGGTTCTTCAGTTTCAGTTGTCAGCTTCATTATCTTTAGCAGCTGTCCTTCGACTACGTCATTGGTATTGGTGATTGTATAGTCGGGAGTGTCAAATGAGCAGCTCATAGGAATAGTTGCTAAGTAGGTGCCGTTGAGAATGTTGAAATTTTCTTTGCCACACATGTAGTGTATCCTTGTGGCGTTCGGCAAAGATAGGATGTAATGTTTCTCGTCAAGTGTTTCCATAGCTGATCTTGATAAGACTATGGTATTAATGGCAGGTCTTATCGATGGCTTGATTTATTAAAAGATTCTGGATACAGTCTGAAACTTGTCATAGCTGATGGTCCATTGTCTCTCCACAGAGGTACCAGTATTTATACTTCAGACTATAGTCGCTGAATCTCTATATACACATGACCTTTTCTGTTGGTTGCTATTAAGGGACAAAGAGAAACGAGGGTCTGTTTAAACTTATTGGGGGTCATGGATAATTTATAGAGATCGTGACTATCCTTCGTAAATAGAGGTATATTAAAAATTATAACTATCCTATTATCGGAGTAATAGTACCTTCGTTTAATTGTGTCATAGTATTCCCTAAGTTCGAATTGAAACACAGGCTCCTTATCATAGATAGTAATTAAGCGTTGAATCATAAGATTTAACATATCTATACTATTTTTAAATAAAACTAATTTTACGGATTTTATCGTCACAGGTGCTGGAAAGCACCCGAAACGTCGGGAATATAAAAATAAGTTAAAAATAAGTTAATATACGCGATAAAATCCGTAAAATTAGTTTTATTTAAAAATATGTAGTGTTCGCGTAAATATAAGAAATCATTATATCTATACTAATCATGGAATGATATAAAGTTGAAGCGTGAATAAAAGCTATTATATTTTCAATTCTAGTTAACTCGTTATATATTTCGTCGATAGTTTCAGTTAATATAGCAAGACGATGAGCAAATTTAGCATATTTATTAGGCTAGAATCTTAAGTGCATACGTGTTCGTCCCATTTTAATTGCTGTTTAATTAAAAAAAAAAACTAGTTACATCTAATTTAGGGTCGTTATCACTTATTAAAACACATAAATTATTTTAACGTAAAAGTACAAGTTGGTTATGCAATAGTTTTTTTTTTCATTGCACCAAACTGCTGGAGCACAATTTTTCTACAATCACTTTGTGAACTTTTAACAACACTATGGCCACAATTGCTGACATTGCCGAATCTCAGAGGTCCCTGGAAGCGATAATCACTCGTCGGATGGAAGAGTTTGAGAAGCAACTCGGTTCCAGTTCTACCAAAACTGTTGATTCTGAGAAGGTTGGTGAGGATTTTATTTCTTTCCAGACTTTGTTCAAGACATGTTCAACCTGCTTCGCCAACAAATAGCAGAGTTAAGTCGGTCAGTTGACACCATTGAGACGAGACATCGCAGAAAATATCTTTTGTTAAGTGGTGTTCCAGAAAAAGCAGATGAAGATGTGCCCAATGTTGTTGTAAGCGTACTTCAGAATCACTTGTGTATGACAAATCTCTTATCGTCTTCTATCCGGATGGCTCATAGACTCGGTATGGCTAAGACGGATCACAACCGACCGATAATTTTCCGTTTTACTGATTTCTCGATGCGTTCCACCGCCTGGTACAAAAAGACTATGTTGAAGGGAACACCGTTTACATTATCCGACTTTCTCACAAAATACAAGCAGAATTTGTTCATGCAAGCTAGAAGACAATTTGGGATGAAAAAGGTCTGGTCTTCAAATGGCTTCATCAGCGTTAGGTTGCCTGATGGTTCTCGCCAGAGTATTCAATCCAATGAAGACCTCAACCGGCTGATACGTCAACATAGCAAGCCAGGATGTGACGAGAAATCTCAACCGGTGATATAAGAAACAAGGGCTTCGAGGGAGCCTGGAAACCGCGACGAAGTACCACGAATTTGGCGTACGGTTAAAAAACATTAATATTACATAATTGTTACGATAATTTGTGTGATGATTATACATAGACGGCCGTGCGGTTACTGGTTGTTCAACCTAATAGCGTTAACGCAGGTCCCTTTTTTCTGTACAGTGAATGCAATCGTCATTTTTCTCATTCGCTAGCCGCTCAGAGTTGATAAACAACTTTTAGTTTAATCCTACATTACTACTTATGTTACGACGTATAAAGAAACTACTCATACGCCCGCGAGGCGCATCATATTGACTAATGATTTTATTCAAATCCTATAAGTATGATTGATATATTTTGAGTGTTTATATAATTGTGTATATTACTAAAAAGAGAAAAACACAATTTTAAACAATATTTATATATTTTTATTATAAAATCTTTAATCAAATAAATCTTAGGAACAAATTTTAGGAACTCAGGCAAATAAACAGTCCTCTCATTAAAAATTAAAATAACGTTTCCCGTTTGTTAGATCTTATCGTACCAACGAGCGTGAGTTTGTATGGTTCAGCAAGTAGTGCTTTGGCCAGCGATACAGACGTGAACTAATTATCACATGTCACGTTACGATTAGTTCCATGTATAGGACGGCTCAATTCCTTTACGTAGTCCCTGAGGTAATCCTCCGGTGTCGGTGGCTCTTCCAATGTATGGCAAAGCGTTAACCATATATTTCGTATCATTGTCACACATCATAGGTATTTTGATCCCGTACTTGTTGGGTTTATTCGGAATATACATTCGAAAGGTACACCTGCCTCGAAATTCAACTAACTGTTCATCAACTGTAAGGTAGTTTCCCGGTGTGTAGTTACACTTGCACTGCTGTATAAACATCTCCCATATCTTCGTGACTGGAATAAGGGGATCTTCTTGACGTAGAGCAGGACGCAAAGTCTTGTCATCCATTCTCAAACAACGCGTGAGAAAATTGAAACGCTCCCTGCTCATCACTGCTAAATACCTAGACCCTGAAAAAGTGCTATCAAATAGCTCAGTTGCAGTTAGGTGCTTATCTTTTATTGCAGCAGTTAGTGTCAAAATACCAAAATAGGCTCTAACTTCTATGGAGCATGTATCTCTGCAGGTAGCGTGGGTATTTACAGAAGGTCTTTTTCTAGATATTTCTACATTTGTCCACCTCACGATCTCACCAACAATGTCTTCCGTGATGAATAAATCAAAACACAAACTAGGCTCAAAGATATTTCTACACATCCTAGTTGGGCCTCTAGAAGTATGCACAATGTTTCTAGCAGTGGTTCCACCTCGACTTTCACCTTTAGAAGTAGACCAACAGTGCTGGTTTTTGCCCTTCAATGTTCGACGCGCCGGGACAAGGATACGGTGATCAGAACTGGATGACTCCAAAGTCTTACTATTTTCTGGGACAAAAGATGGCACTAATTCTTCAGCTATACTTTCGTCTTCTATGTATCCTTCTGCTACATCGTCCTGAGCGTCTTCATTGCTTACGTGATCTTCAATTTCAGAGTCATCTCCCGAAAAGTTATCATCACTGTTATGGTCGCTTTCTTCTAGCCAATCGGCTATCATATCATCCGTAACTCTTTTATTACTATTCATGATGTTGAAGTTTTAAAAAGTACCTAAAAAATATAAAACACACCGGTAGTAACTAATAATGCAAAAAAAACATTAACAAAATAATTTATTTAATATGGCAAAACTTACATACAAGCTACTCATACGTCTTTGGAGCGCCAAGGGTAGTAATATCAAAAAAACTAGCACAATTACAGTAACGCAATCACCGACCTGCGACACGTGCTGGCGACGATTGAGATGTCCTTGAACGTGAATGCCATACGCGCGAAGGGTAAAAAGAGAGAGCAATATATCAAAACCGCGGGCACCTCTGCGACGTACAGTAGTAATCTAGGGTAAAGTTAATGTCAACCATATTATGTGTGTATATCTAGGGTTACGAACTAAAATTATGGAATATTTTATTAGTGATGTTTCAATGTCTTATATATATTTTTTTGGTTTTATAACTCACGTGCATAAGAACAACTATTGATGCATTTTATTTTTAATGCTCTCTGAGGTTTTATTACCAAAGTGATTTATTATCTATCTCATTTATTTTATTTTTTAATTTTTCTTTTTATTTATTTTTTAATCTTGTTTTGTAAACAGTACCGCTACTAAACCTGCTGGTAGCAGGTTTGGTAGCAGTAATTAAAATAACAATACAGCATAAACATAATATATTAAAGATATTTAATTTTATTTACTTAAATAGGTTATATATTTATTTATAGCCAAGTTAAGTCATATATTTATTTATAGCCATATAAGTTTTATTATTTATTTATTTATTTATTTATTTAACAGTTTATGTACACACATAATTTGATAAGAAAATGGTAAAAACATAATTATGTACAAAGGCACTGCTTATTCCATGATGAAATTTCTTCCAGCAGGCCTATTGAAGGATAGTTGAAGGAAATAGAGGTAGTCAAAGTGTGCACTTGCATAAATATACATATACTCGTACTATACAAATATATACAAACTTATATATATACGTATATACATATATAAATAAATATTATATATTATAAAAAAATATATATAATTCAATATATATTTTAATGTTACTGATATGCATACCAACACATTACGATTTAGTAATTATGGAGTGAGTGATAGTGCTCTTTAACAAGTCTTTTAAACATAGACACCGATTTAGCATCACGAATCCTAAAGGGAAGTGAATTCCACAATCGTACTGCGTTAACAGAAAAAGAATGAGAATAGAGCATGGTATTGAAAAACGGAAATCTTAACAATGTTCTAGTATTTGACCTACATGGTACATCTGGAGAATGAACAAAAGTAAAACGATTTTTTAGATATAGCGGAATAGAAGGATTATGTAGAATATTGAAAAGAAGACAGAGGATACGAGTGTTCCGGCGAAGGCGGATTGGGAGCCATTTAAGCTGCTTGCGATAAACAGAAACGTGATCGAACTTCTTTAAGCCAAAAATGTATCGAATACATAAATTTTGCAAGCGCTCAAGTTTATTAATTTGCTCTTCTGTAGCATCCAGATAACATACATCAGCGTAATCTAAAATTGGTAATATAAGAGTCTGGACTATGGATATCTTAGTAGACAAGGGTAGAAAACTTTGAAGACGCTTTAGAGAATGAAAGGCATGAAATATTTTCCTACCTACATCCGTAATATGAGCGCCCCAAGTCAGATTGCAGTCAAAAATAACGCCTAGGTTCTTGGCAGTATCTGAGTAGGGAATAGTGGTACCATCAATTCGTAGAGTTTGGAGAGAGGAGAAATCAAGCATGCCACGCGCATATCTTTTGCCTATTATCAAGGCTTGGGATTTATTTGGGTTTATTATGAGACCAAAAGATCTTGACCATTCGCTAATCTTATTTAAGTCATCATTCATAGCTTCAATCGCCAATTTAGCTTCAGATACCACAAAATTACGATATAACTGCAAATTGTCAGCATAGAGGTGGTAATTAGATGATATGACCTTAGTGATACAATTAATAAAAACGGCAAAAAGCAGAGGAGATAGGACTCCACCTTGTGGTACACCCGCAGTTACATTATACCATTGGGAGTATATTTCACCTGAACGAACACATTGAGAACGATCTCGAAGATAGGAGTCAAACCATAGAATAACAGATCTAGACACATTAATCGATTTAAGGATACTTATAAGGATATCAAAATTGACAGAATTAAACGCACTGCTGAAATCTAGTAGAACAAGAACTGTTAAAAATCCATGGGCCATATTCCAACGAATATCATCAGTAACTTTAAGAAGGGCAGTTGTTGTACTGTGACCAGGTCGGAAACCAGATTGATATGGACATAAAAGATTGTTACTGTTGAGAAAGGCTGAAAATTGCTTGTGGAAAATGTGTTCAAGAACTTTAGAAAGAAATGGCAAGATTGAAATAGGACGAAAGTGAGAGGGAGATGAAGGATTAGATATCTTAGGGATAGGGATAATGTGACCTAATTTCCATGACGACGGAAAACAACAAGAAGATAAAGAGAAATTAAAAATGTGAGTAAGAACAGGTAGAAGGATAGGCATTATCATATTAGAGCATATGCAGTCATTTCCAGCAGCCGTAGATGATATAGCTAAAATTGATCGGTTAGTATCGTCTTCGGTGACTAAAGAAAAACCAAAAGTTTTTATTCTATATTTATTTAATTAGTTATTTATATCTTAATTTATTTTTATGTGACATTATACACTTGATTTTCAGCGCCATGGCAGTTTCCGATAACGATTCATTCACCTCTGCTAATTCTAATTCCTTTTATTCATTTTCTGACTCTGACTTGGAATTACCTACAGTTCGTTCTCTCCTAACCCAAAAACACAATGATTATAATAAAAATTTCAACGTGCGTCACATCAATGCCCAGAGTATTCCGCAGCATTATACTGAACTTTTAAAAACTTTTAACATTCGGAGCATCCACGCTATACTTATCTCAGAAACCTGGTTAAATCCAACTCTGCCTTCTACTTCTTACGGAATACCAGGTTTTGTTTTACTTCGTAACAATTGCATTCATAAAAGAGGAGGTGGTGTGGCAGTATACCTGCGAAGTGGTATTGCATACAAAATTTTATCAGCCTCACTTTCACAATATATTGGATCAGTTGAATATATTTTTTTAGAGATTGTTGTTAGTGGAAATAAAGTTGTGCTTGGTGCAATTTATTGTCCACCAAATTCTAGTTATTTATGTGAATTTGAAGAGGCACTTCTCTCAATTTGCTCTGATTATCAACATTATATTTTAATGGGTGACTTTAACACGAATATTCTCAGTGATAATCCTAGATCGCGTGGACTGCGTTCAATTAATGAGTCAGCAAATTTTTCAATATTTCCACACACACACACACACACACCACCCATCACAATCTTACTGCTGATGATATATTGTTAGATTTGATATTTGTCTCCTCAGAAGAACGCGTTGCCTGTTGTTGACAGTTCCCCGCTACAGGTTTCTCGCGACATGACTTGCTGTTTATTTCCTATAAAATTAAACCTCCCAAAGTAAAGCCAGTTATTGTGCGTCTGCGTAATTTTGCTAGGATAAATGTCGAAGGGCTCCAACATGATGCTTCGCTTTTAGATTGGAGCGATACATTTAACGCAGAGAGTATTGATGACAAGATTACAACATTTAATTCTCATATTCATAAGCTGTTTGACAAACACGCACCTATTCGTGACGTTAGGTTAAAACGTTCGCCTGCGCCATGGATTACTGAAAATATCCGTAAGACTATGTCTAAGCGCGATCAGATATTTAGAAAATTCAAGCAGAACCGTTGTGAACTTAACTGGACAAAATTCAAACTTGCGAGAAATCGATGTAATCAGATGGTACGAGCCGCTAGACGCCGCTACATTCACTATAATATCATAAACTCTTCTATGGTTGATACATGGAAATTTATCCGGACGATCGGGGTCGGTAAGCCTACGTGTAACGTGGACACTGCAATCATTTCTGTAAGTGATCTCAATTTACATTTTTCTTCAACTACCCAAATGCAGGCTTCTGTTAAATCAAGTACTATTTCTTATTTGCATTCCATGCCACAATCTCATAACTACACATTTAACTTTTCTCCCGTTGCTGATGAGGATATGAAAAAAGCCATTTATTGTATTAAGTCTATGGCAGTTGGCTTCGATGATGTGAATAGACTTATGATCACCTTAATTCTAGACTATGTTACTCCTATTATTACTCACATCATTAATCATTCACTATTGACTGGGGATTTTCCTTCGTAATTATTAATAGATAACTATGAACTCGTATATAACTCTTAGTTGGAAGATCACACACTGACTTGTCTGTGAAGTAACACGGCTCCAACTGAAAACCAGCGCTGTATTTGCAGCATTATGGTGAGTTGGACACCTATTTGATGTCACATTTTCATATTGATTTTTTTTTCGTTTTTACCTTTTTGTTTGTTTGTTTGTTTTATTATTGTGTATGTACTGATTCTCAATTGTAAATGCGTAAACAGTGTTAGACTGGTAGATCATTCTTTTCCCCCTTGCTTTTGTTTATAATATTTCTTTTTAATGTGTGTAAAATGTGTATATCAAATAAATAGTTCTTTCTTTCTTTCTTTCTTTCTTCACTTTGGAGAAAAGCATTTGTCATTCCGCTGTCCAAAATAAATAACTTTTTCTCACTTTCGCCCAATATCGATTCTCCCTTTTTTATCTAAAGTTCTTGAAGCTATTGTCCACAAACAAACTTCTAGTTACATTTTCAAAAATAACTTTCTTAGCACATATCAATCTGGTTTTAGGCCGGGGCACAGTACTACCACAGCTCTTTTGAAAGTTAATGCTGCTTTTTAATGCTGTCGATCATGATATTCTTCTAGCTATATTTTGTCACCTGGGTTTCTCTTCGTCAGCGCGGGACTGGTTCTCCTTATATCTTCGGGGTCGTCAGCAGGTAATTCGAGTAGGTCAGTTTATCTCTGATTGGTGCTCTTTGTCTG